TTTCAGAACCAGTATATAGACGCTATTAGTCCAATAATCATTGATGGAATTCCTCTCAGCCTCAGGATCTCCCAGAGTGATTCCCGATGCACCATATTGAACCCCTTCTTGAGGTCGATGTAGGCTGCAAGCAGTCCACGCCCGAACTCACGACGGCGCTCTACAGTGACTTGAAGCGCAAGGATACGGTCTATTGTGGGCTTACCAGGAGTGAATCCAGATTGCTCCGGCCTCTGATGCCTCAGTAGGTGGTCCCTGATATGTCTCAGAAGGATGTGGGCAAGAACCTTGCCAGGTATACTGATCAGTGTGACGCCTCGGTGGTTGCTGCAGTCCTATTGGTCCCCCTTCCCCTTCCAGAGAGGAATGACCACACCTCTCAACAGGTCAGGGGGAACGGTAACGGATGGCAGCCAGGACAGCATGCAACCCACATGCCATAGGTTCACCACCAGCCTTTAACAGTTCAGCTGGTTTGCCGCATATACCTGCTGCTTTACCACTCTTCAGCTTGGAGATCGCCCCCTAACTTCGGTTAGGGAGGGAGCATCCTCACTGATGGGTGGGTCCGGCAACGGAATCTCGGCACTCCCCGCATCCAAGTTAACTATTGGTGGGTCAACCTGGTACAACTGTTCAAAATGCTCAGCCCAATGCTCCTGCACTGCAACAGGATCTGAGACGATCTGGCCACTCACTAAGCGAACTGCTGTCACCTGTGAAGAGGGCTTGGAGTTCAGCTTTCTATGGGCTTGGTAGGTAGGACAAAGGTCATTTACTAAGAAATGGCCTTCGACCTCCTCCGCAAGATTCCTAATAAACTGTTCCTTGTCCCCTCTTAACAGCAACTCTGCGCACCTGAGAACGGTGCAAATCCCGAACCCCTGTTAGACAAGCCAGACAAGCATGTGGCATCCAGTGTCTCCTGCGAGATGAAATTTCGTCTTGCTCTCGGGTGTTCATCAATTGTTTCTTGAGCTCATCGTGTTTCGCACTTGAAGGTGTCCCACAGAAGTAAGGGTCCGATTGTTGAGTGCTGTGAAACGACCAGAGACTGCCTCAGCAAACCCTGGGCACACTCCCCCTCCCTCAGCCTGTCCAATGAAACACCCTGGGGAGATCATTGGACCACTGGGGAGTTTTGAAATGGACCCGAAGGGTAGCCACAACCAATCTATGGTCAGTCCCACAGAACTCGGCATTTCTATACACCCTGCAATTCTGGAGGATCGTCCAGTGAGTGCTAAAGAGTATGTGGTCGATCTCCTTGGCTGTACTACCCGCATTGCTGAACCACATCCAGTGATGTGGCCCTAGGCGCTGATACCAGGAGTCAGAAATCCTCAGTTTCTGGCACCTAGCAAAGTCCTGGAAAAGGAGGCTATTCTCGCTGTCGGTATCAGCTCCTGAACCATGGGGACCAACAGACATCTCATAGCCAGCTCGATCACAGTTAGTTACTGCATTGAAGTCACCCAGAACAACACGGATATCTCGCCAGGGACACCTGTTTGACACAGATGCTAGTTTGGCGTAGAACATCTTTCACATCAAGTTTACAAACATCGGTAGGAGCGTACACAGCAATAAGACAAATAAAGCCAAATGCTAGCTTCAGTCTCATTAACATTATACGGTTATTGACTGGAGTAACCTCCACTACTGAGGGCTGGAGTCTGCTGGAGATGGCCATGGCTACTCCCTGGAGATGGTGACCGTTGCTGCGGCCTGACCAGTAGTAGGTGTAGCCACCTACACTGATCGTGCTACTGCCAAGTCTTCTCACCTCTGAGAAAGCAGCCACCTCCACTCTCAGCTTCCACAGTTCCCTCGACAGCAGAGGCAACCGATCATCCTGACGTAAAGAACGGACGTTCCAATCCCCCATCCTGAGGTTTAGCTTCAGGCAGTCGCTCCGGGTGGACGCCACCTCTGCCACCCCGCCGACGTTGCTCTATATAAAAGGGGGCGGCAGGCTGTGGGACCCATCATCCACCTACGGGTTTCCCTGTCTTTCCCCCATAAGCTTCATATATATATATATATATATATATATATATATATATATATATATATATGTATATATATTATATATATATATATTATATATATAATATATTATATATATATATATATATATATATATATTTATATTTATTTATATATATGTGTGTGTGTGTGTGTGTGTGTATGTTCGGTTCGCAGCCGAAGCTGCTCCTGACCTCGTGCGGGAGCGACGAGTTCACCTGCAGCGACGGCCACTGCATCCGGAAGAGGCTGCGCTGCGACCTGTCGGTGGACTGCAGCGACCAGAGCGACGAGATGAACTGCGACGTGGTCATCATCCCCGAGGGCTACTCCGTCAAGATCCCGCCGCCGAGGGAGGCCGTGAAGCCCGTGCCCTTCAAGGTGTTCTTGACCATCAGGTCCATCAAGGACTTCGACCTGACCAAGTTCCGCCTCACCGTCGACCTGATGGCCTCCGTCAAGTGGACGGACAGCCGCCTGGGCTACAGCAACCTCCGGCGCGACTACAAGGCCAACCGCCTCCGGAACATCGATCTGGTGTGGGTCCCGACGCTCACGCTCATCGACGGCACCAAGGGCACGGCCAAAGGCATCATACACTCGAGGGTCGTGTTCGTCTACAGGGTCTCGGACGAACTGCCCGACGACGAGAGCATAATCTTGGAAGGTCGGCCTCGTGGGTTTGGACGCACGAACACGCGCGCCCAACATATTCTCTTTCGCACACGCACAAGCACGCCTGCTTTTTCACACACACTGATCATGAAATTATATGCCTTAATTAATATATATTCGAAAATAGCTCTCGCAAAAAATCCCTCCCGCCACAAAACAATCTAAATATTTCAACCATGATGTTTTAAAATCCTTTATTGCTTATTTCGTATCCGTCTATTTTATCTACTCATGTCTCCACTATCTTTTTTCACAACTCAAACAGATTACAAGTACGACGGCACCCTCAACTTCCTCGTCCTCGAGCAAGAAATGTCAGTGACCTTTGCCTGTAATTTTGACCTCATGATGTACCCTTTCGACCAGCAAGTCTGTTACCTCAACTTTGAAATCCAGAATTTGAATATCAGGTTCGGAATCCTCGAAAAGGTATGGAACTCAGAAGGTAAACTAAACGAAAGATTTTGCGCTTTGATTACATAATATTTCTTTCGATAAAATCTATATATTCGTCTAATGCTTGCTCCAAAGCTTCATTGCATCAACCTTACTGGAAAATTTACAAACCAAGCCCTTATCAGTATCTATAAGTACAACAATAGTATAATAAACAACTGCTTTAGGCGTGAAATACCTTAACTGCCTATCAGATACAGTGAGATTAGTGATAGCAGATGAGCGTAGAATGAGGTCAGGGACGACTCAACGATTGCAGCCGGAAAAGGGTTAAAGAAGCAAGGACTTTAGAAGCAAACTAGAATCTCTTTGGGCATTTTGCTGTGGTTACTGTTGTCTATGCTGTTGGTTATATCACTATCATCATTGTTACTATTGATATCATCATTATCATTATTATCATTACGATTATCATTATTGTTGTTATTATTATCATGATCATTATCATTATTATTGCTTTTATCATTATGATCATTATCATCATTACTATTATCATTTTCATATTACCCTTATAATTATTGTTATCATCATTAATGATATCATTACTATTATCATTATTATTATTATCATTATTATTATCATTAACTTTTATATTATCATGAGTATTGCTATTACTGTTACTATCATAATCATTACTATCATTATTGTAATCATCATTACTATCATCATTATCATTATTATTATCATTACATTTTATTATCATGCCATCACCATTATTACTGTTATAGATCTATAAGCATCGTAAAATACCCCCATTACTACTTAACAAAACATACCCCCTATAATACTTAACAAACCCGTTTATAAACCCAGTCACTACTTCACAAAACCACTGTTATAAATGTATACGCATCATAACACCATAAGTCTAAAAGCATCATAACCTAATAAATCCATAAGCATCATAACCTCATAAATCCATAAGCATCATAACCTCATAAATCCATAAGCATCCTCAAAAATCCATAAGCATCATATCATAAATCCATAAGCATCATAACCTCATAAATCCATAAGCATCATACCTCATAAATCCATAAGCATCATAACCTCATAAATCCATAAGCATCTAACCTCATAAATCCATAAGCATCATAACCTCATAAATCCATAAGCATCGTAATCTCATAAATCCATAAGCATCATAACTTCATAAATCCATAAGCATCGTAACCTCATAAATCCATAAGCATCTCAACCTGATAAATCCATAAGCTTCATAACCTCATCAATCCATAAGCATCATCATAATCATCATCCGGAGCTAACGCCGACGGGGGCGCATAGCCGCGTCCACCTTCTGCTTCCACCTTTTGGGATCTCTCATAGCAAGTCGCCAGGCAGGGGCCCGGCCCATCTCGAGCTCTTCCCGACAGGTTTGATCGATCTGCCCAAGCCACGACCTCCTAGGTCGTCCCACAGGCCTCCTCCACCCAGGGTTGTCTCTTACAAAGACAACCTGATGGGCAGGATCAGCCTGTGGAAAGCGATCCAGGTGGCCATATAGCCTGAGTTGGCGATCCCAGATTGTGCAGGTAACAGGTCCTATTACAAAAGGCTTCAAGACGAGACTCCATTGCACTGGATAATGTCCAGGTTTCACTACCGTATAGCAAAACTGGCATTACCAGGGCCCTGAAAACACGTAGCTTGGTCCTTCTGCACAGGTACCGGCATCTCCAAATACTCTTGTCGAGAGAGTTCATGACCCCTGCTGCCAGGCCAATCCGTCTGCTGACTTCCTGGTCTGACAGCCCAGAGTTATGAACTGCACTACCAAGGTATGTAAAGCTCTCTTTGACTTCAATGTCCTCGCCGCAAGCACGTACCGACCGAACAGGTTTTCCTAGCAAGTCCCCAAAGTCCTGGATCTTGGTCTTGGTCCAGGAGACCTCTAGACCCAAGGGCTTCGCTTCATTACTAAATGCATTGAGGGCCACCACTAAGGTTTCCAAAGACTCAGATAGAATTGCAACATCATCGGCAAAATCAAGGTCTGTAACCTTAATATTGCCCAGTGTTGCTCCACAATGACTTTGAACAGTAGCTCTGCTTAGTATCCAGTCCATGCAAGTGTTGAAAAGGGTTGGTGCAAGAACACAGCCTTGCCTCACTCCTGAACTGACAGGAAAGAAGCTCGACAGGCCCCCACCACACTTTACAGCACTTTCAGTACCAGTATATAGGTTTGCTATTAGTTCAATAATCCTTGTTGGAATTCCTCAGTCTCAGGATCTCCCAGAGTGATTCCCGATGTACTGTATCGAACGCCTTCTTGAGGTCGATGTAGGCTGCAAGCAACCCACGTCTGAACTCACGACAGCGCTCTACAATGACTCGAAGCGCAAGGATACGGTCTATTGTGGACTTACCAGGAGTGAATCCGGATTGCTCTGGCCTCTGATACGCCTCAGAAGGATGCGGGCAAGAACCTTGCCTGGTACACTGAGAGCAGTGTGATGCCGCGGTGATTGCTGCAGTCCCATCGGTCCCCCTTCCCCTTCCAGAGAAGGATGACCACATCCCTCAACAGGTCAGAGAGAACAGTACCGGACTGCCAAATGGCAGCCAGGACAGCATGCAATCCCCGTGCCATAGGTTCACCACCAGCCTTTAACAGTTCAGCTGGGATGCCGCAAATACCCGCTGCTTTACCACTCTTCAGCTTGGAGATCACCTCCCTAACCTCAGCTAGGGAGGGAGGGTCCTCGCTAATGGGCGGGTCTGGCAGCGGAATCACGGCACTACCCACATCCAAGTTAACTGTTGGAGGGTCAACCTGATACAACTGCTCAAAGTATTCAGCCTAACGCTCCCTCACCGCAACAGGATCTGAAACGATCTGGCCACTCACTAAGCGAACTGCAGTCACCTGTGAAGAGGGCTTGGAGTTCAGTTTTCTCAGGGCTTGGTATGCAGGACGAAGGTCATTTACTAAGAAATGGCCTTCGACCTCCTCAGCAAGATTCCTAATAAACTGTTCCTTGTCCCTTCTTAACAGAGACCGAGTTCTGCGCACCTGAGAACGGTGCAAATCCCGATCCCCTGCCAGACGAGCCGCACGGCAAGCATCAGTGGCTTCCAGTGTCTCCTGAGAGATTGAATTCTATCTTGCTCTCGGGCGTTCTCTAATCGATTCTTGGGCTGCATCAAGCGTTTCACGCTTGAAGGTGTCCCACAGAAGTACAGGGTCCGTCAGATTGTCAAGCGCTGTGAACCGATCAGAGATTGTCTCAGCAAACCTCCGAGCACACTCCCTCTCCTTCAGCCTGTCCAGATGAAACACCCTAGGGTGGTCATTGGGCCGCTGGGGAGTTTTGAAGTGTACCCGAAGGGTAGCCACAACCAATCTATGATCAGTACCAAAGAACTCAGCACTCCTATACACCCTGCAGTTCTGGAGGATCCTCCAACGAGTGCTAACGAGAATGTGGTCAATCTCCTTGGTTGCATTACCTGCATCGCTGTACCATGTCCAACGATGTGGGTCCGGGCGCTGGTACCAGGAGCCAGAAATCCTCAATTTCTGGGATTTAACAAAATTCCGGAAAAGGAGGGAATTCTCGCTGCCGGTATCAACTCCCGAACCATGAGGACCGACTGACATCTCATAGCCAGCTTGATTGCAGCCAGATACCGCATTGAAGTCACCCAGAACAATACGAATATCTCGCCGGGGACAACTGTCTGCCACGGATGCAAGTTTGGTGTAGAACATCTCTTTCACATCAAGTTTACAAACATCGGTAGGAGCGTACACAGCAATAAGAGACATGAAGCCCAAAAACAGCTTCAGTCTCATTACCATAATACGCTCATCGACTGGAGTGACCTCTACCACCGAGGGCTGGAGCCTACCGGAGACAGCTATGGCTACTCCCTGGAGATGGTGACCATCGCTGCGGCCTGACCAGTAATAGGTGTAGCCACCTACACTGGTCGTGCCGCTGCCAGGTCTTCTCACCTCTGAGAGAGCAGCCACCCCTACTCTCAGCTTCCCCAGTTCCCTCGATAGCAGGGGTAACCGATCATCCTGACGTAAAGAGCGGACGTTCCAAGCCCCCACCCTGACTTCCCGCCTGAGGTTAACCCTCGGGTAGTCGCTCCGGGTGGACGCCACCTCTGCCCCGCCGATGCTGCTCCACATAAAAGGCGGCAGGCTGCGGGACCCTTCATCCACCTGTGGGGTTCCCTAGGGCTTTGCCCCACAAGCTTCATATTGGGCTGGCGGCTGCCAGGACGCAGGCAGGACGAGGAGCTCCCGTTCCTATTCCGCGCCCCAGCAGCCACCCTCCCAACGGGGCCCGCAGCCCGCCTCTCTCGCTGGGTAGGAGGGACATT